GGGGGAGTGGAATACAGATACTAAAACCATGCAATGTTAAAAATAGCGACCCCAGACCAAGAGCCCTTGAAATTCCAGAGTATGTAGCACATGCCAAATTAAGGGTTGAATATCAGAGTTAGAACTGGAACTGAATATTTTTTGGAACAATGATGATTCTTACTTCCTTTTGGATTACTATTACAGAATACCATATTCGAGGCGGGCTATAATACAGGGTAGACATAAAGTTCATGTGCAGTTTACTATGTTTTAAAGTATTTAAAAACTGCACACAAAGTTTATGTCCACTCTGTACAACAATATATTTATTGCTCACAGTTCTGGAGGCTGAGATGCAAGACCCTGGTGTGGCAGAGGCTATGTCTGGTGAAGACTCAGCTCCTGGTTCATAGATGGGGCTTCAAAGCATGAATTTTGGGGGACAGAAACTTTTAGGCCATAGCAACCCCTCTTGTCTGCTGGCTTAGCAATGGTCCTGAGCAGAACAGGACGGCAGCAGAAGACAGAACAGTGAGGCTGGACAGCGATGTTTACCCGCTACCCAATCACCCTCATTCCATTCTCCGCACACACCTGTCTAGTCCCTTCCTGTATAATCCATTCAGGCACCATTAAAAAATACAACAGACCAAGTGGCCAAAACATCAGAAATATATTCTCTTATATCCTGACAGTCTGAGATCCAGCAGTCTCTGGCTGGACGCTCCTGAGGCCTCTCTCCTTGGCCTGTGGATGTCATCTTCTCCCTATGTCCTCATGGGGTCGTCCCTCTGTCCATGTCTGTGTCCTGATGTCCTTTTCTTATAAGGACACCAGTCCTACTGGGAGACACCAGCCCTCCCTATAGACCTCATTTCACCTTAATCGCGTCTTTAAAGACCCATCTCCAAATCCAACCACATTCTGAGATCGTAGGGCTTAGGGCTTCCACATAGGAATTTGGAGACAGACACAATTCGTTCTGCTTTGGGACAAGGGGTAACAAGTCTTTTCTGTCTCCAGATTCAAGCAACGCCTCGCCCCAAATTATCTGATCCACTGTAACCTCCTAAAAACGGGGCTCTTCACTGGGGAAGGGACACAAAAAAGGGACGGGGGGTGGGAGGCCAGAGAGGAGAAAACCTGGCCTGTTGAGCTAGAAAGTCCAGAGTAGGCGTCCTCAAACTACGGCCCATGAACCACATGCAGCCTGCCTAGGACATTTATCCAGCCCGCCAGGTGTTTTTGCCGCCGCTGCCTGTCCTGCTTAGCAGCCAACTCCTCCTGGGGCCTGCAGTCCGGCCCTCCAACAGTCTGAGGGACAGTGAACTGGCCCCCTGTTTAAAAAGTTTGAGGACCCCTGGTCCAGAGGGTCCACAGAATGTGGGTATGAAGTAATGTAGATAAGCATTGATCAATAGAAAAAGGCAATATTGCCTAGAGATGCAGAGAGGCCAAGGAAGATTCTTGCCGCAGTTTCAAACAGACAATATTTATTCCGCCAAGTCTCCATTGTCTCACTTTTTCTCCTCTGTGAGACAGACCCACTTCCAACTCTCTTTGGAAGTGCTCTAAACCTTCTCTTTGTTCTTCTTAAAATAAAATCTGTTACCCTGAAATTTGTGCAACTTATTTTCAGTTTCCAGTTATTTTTGTTTTTGCATGACTGCCGAGCCTTGGTTGAACTTTCTAGCTCCGCGGAGTCATGGAACCAGGTGAACTGGGTTCGGGGAAGTGGCAGCCCCGACCCCCAACATTCACAGAGACCAACCAAAGGCAAATCCTTGTTCAGCCAATTCTCCTTTCGGCCAACCCCTAGGGCTGCAGTGTCTCTCCAAAAGCTAAGATTTGGGGAACAGGTCCTGCCAGCCACGTCAGATGCCACCTCTGAGTTCTTCTCCATCCACTTAGGCAGGGCCACCTGTCTCTCTGTGCCCAGCCATCACCCTCACCCCTGATGGCTTTAAAGCCATGTCCCCATAGAAGCTCCATGCCCTTCAAGTCTAGTGAGACCTCGGAATTAAGCCTCCCCCAATCAGTACCTCCAAGGCCACCAGCTCCCACTGTCCCCAGCACCCCTTAAAATTCCTGAACATTCAAGACATTCCCTGATGAAAGCTGACTGTGTTTGAGTGATTCCCCCCAAAATTGCTCTCCTCCAGCTTCAGGGATCTTCCTCCCTGCCACAAAGGATTTCTGCAAAGGATGGAATCCCACCCCACCCTCACTGAACCTCGACGCAGACCTCTTCTAGACCTGCTCACTTGTTCCCGACCTCGGCTGGCTGCTCCGTCTGTGTGGTGCTGGCTTTACAGGGAATGCAAGGACGGAAGCCCTCGTGGATGACAGCCCCTTGAAAGAAACAGGGCAAAGCCCTAAACAAACCCATCTCAGACTCATAAATGTGCCCGTCACCAGACCAGGAGGGTCCGGCCGCTTGGCACTGTTGCCCAGTATGCAGAGACGGGGACAGATTCACTCAACTTTGCCAGAAGGCCGGCGATTCTGAACACAGAGTAGCCTCCCCAAGACTGTTCCAGTCTTCCATTTCCCAAATTACGGTTTTAGATATAATGGTTCACAGTAAAGACCACAATAACTCTGATTTTTTTTTTTTTTATTGTTGGGGATTCATGGAGGGTACAAAGAACCAGGTTACAACTACTTGCATTTGTCCGGCGAAGTCCCTCTTACAAATGTCTTCCTCCTCCAAGAGGTGTGCCAAACACCCTGACGCCCACCTCCTCCCTCCCTCTCTCCAAGGCTCCCCTATTCCCCCACCCCCACCATGTGCCAGGTATTTTAATAATCAGCACAACTCAGTGACAATCTATTGTAACATTTCCAATTCAAGTTAATTACTAAACTATTCAAAACACACATCTTTAAGGTGGGAGCTAAACTTACAAAACAGGAAAAGGGGTGAAAGTCTGGGAGGAGCTGAACTGACCAGACCAGCTGTGTCCTGTAGGCCCAGCCTGGCCCATTCCATCTTATTTTCACCCTCTGTACCAGGGGTCCTCAAACTTTTTAAACAGGGGGCCTGTTCACTGTCCCTCAGACCGCTGGAGGGCCGGACTGCAGGCCCCGGGATGAGTCAGCTGCTAAGCAGGACAGGCAGCAGCGGCAAAAACACCCGGCGGGCCGGATAAATGTCCTCGGCAGGCCGCATGTGGCCCGGGGACCGTAGGTTGAGGACTCTGTAGTCTCATGTCGATGGAAAAGAAGCCATACTTTGTAAAAATAATTTAAGGCGGGTTATACTGAGCCAAATTTGAGGACCATGGCCTGGAGCCATGCTCGGGAAGACTAGAGCAAGTGGACCCCAGGTGCTGGGGCGATGGTTGGGTTTTATACATTTCAGGGAGACACAGATTACAACCAGTCATAATATGGGGAAGGCATATATTGGTTTGGGCCCCAAAAGGTGAGACATTTGGAAGCTGGGAGCTTACAGGTTGTAGGTGAGTTTAAAGTTCCTTT